TGGCTAATTCTTTATCCAAACAACTGGAATATGTTAACATAATAAATGAATATAAGAAAAAAATCAATGAGCTTTCTTCTTTGCCATTATCTTCACCTTCATCATCTTTTTCTTCAATATCTACTTATACTAAAATATTAGAACAAGAACTAAAAGCAGCATATGATTTAACTGCAGAAAATAATAATCTCAAAAATCAATTGGCTACCCAATTTAATACTCAAGAGAAAAGAATCAATGCTATTATAGATATTGCTTTAGCAGAAAGAAATAATATTTATCAAGATATTCAAAAATCAGGAACGTTTTACTTTGTCAAATCTTTTAACCCATTCTCCTACAAAATGGCTTGAAGAACAGAATCCTGTTGTAGTTAAATTTATTGAAATACTTCCAAATAATGAATATAATGATCAAAGTGAACAAATGCAAGAAGAAAATTTTTTAAACATGCTGTAGCACTGGAGGCAATTTATGGCTCAAGAAATTGTAAGTATGTTTCTGCAATAAATCTTGCCACATCTGCTATCAAATATTCATTGACAAGGTCAAAAATGATAGTAGATATAGATAATCACATAATGAGTTCTGGTAGCTATTCAAAATTTGTTAATTGGTTGGAGAGCTTAGTAATTGAACCTAAACCTTTGCCAGATGGATTTTTAATTTTAGCTTTTGACAATGAACAAAGAGGTCAAAAAAATTATTTGAATTGTGGCAACAACTAAGTCATTTTTCATGTGGTTACTAGCTTTGTTGCTTTTAATTTCAATCCACATGATAATAGCCAGTTAACAACAAATCCTTGGAAAAATGATTCACTTACTTCAGATGAAATTGAACAATTATTAGACATAGATGATGATATGCAAAGAGAATTTGAGTTAGAGCTTCATAATTTTATTGGTGACATAATAAGTAATTTGTGTAATGAAAAAAATAAGGAATAAATCAATTGGATCATCTTGTTGTTGATAATCAAAATAATCTTCCTAACAAAATGAAAATATGTCTCAATTGTTCTGAAAAAAATATAGATAATAAAAAAAGAAATTGTCCAAATTGCAATGAGAAACTACCAACCCTTGATTCATTAAATTTAAACCAAATTTCTCAAAAACCACCTGAGAGTGCATCTTTAAATAAAAAAATCTGAACATGGTGCTCAAAAATCTAAACTTAGCATAACACAAAAACTTATACCAGACAAAGGAGTAGAAGTTCCAGACATTTACATTCCAGATCCAATACCTGTAAATCCAAATTCATTAAAAAATGTTGAAATTGTATTAAAACATATAGAAAACATTACAAGAATCAAATCAGGGAAATGTAAATGGGTACCTGTTGTATGTGATGGTGTGTCTTATAACCTTGCACTGAAATTGAGAAATGATTTCCCTTGGCTAACTTTACTTCCTGGAGCTCTACACAAAGAAATGAATATGCTTAAAGCTTTTGTAGAATTAAATGGGTAAAAATTTTTAAATTTTAGATTGAATTATTATTTGAAAAAAAAGAAAACAAACTAATTACCTATATTATATATAAAGGGAAATAGATATTAAATCATTTGCCAAATTTCAAGGTTACAACAAATCAGAAAAACAATTAGATTTTTTCAGAAAATGCATTGATTTTCATAAATCTTGGGACTCTATATGTAACATTTATTGTCATTCAACAGCTTCTGAGCTGGTCTGGCTTTACATTAAAAATGAAGAAAATCCAACTGTTGATGGTTATCTTGAATGGTCCAGAACTCAAACAAATGAAATCTATAAACTTAAATTTGAGCAAATTAAGTTTTAATTATATTTTTCAATGAATTAATCAATCTAATAAAAAAATTAGTAAATAATGCTGATTGTATTTATTTACATTAGACTTTTATTTACCTGAAAGCAATTATAAACTTTTGCATTGGTGTAAGAACAAACAATCCCTTGCTACAAAATGCAGCTAGATGTCAATTTGCACCAGTATGGTCTGCTTATAGACATCCAACTATAAATTATTGGAAGTATCACATGAAGCACTTTTGTCATGTTTAAAACCTTCAGTTAGAAAAACATTGAAAAGGCATCAGTAGTTTCTAGGTCTGGACTTTGAAATCAACATCAAGGCCTTGATGCAATATTAGAAGAATTCAATAAATCATTAAAATCTATGATTCCTCCAGTACCTTCTCAACATCATTGGGAAATTGCAGCAAGAAATTGCAAAAATTTCATGAAGGTAAGTATAGTTTACTTTCTCTATAATAGATCTTTCTATAATAAATCTTGCTCTATAATGGACTGAGAATTTAAGCCCAATTTATATGTCCCACATTAACATATAATCTATGATTCCAAATGGTCCATTATAGAGTAAACTGTAATTTAAACCAAATTAATTCTAATAGTTCAATAGCTATGTACCAATCTTTTTAATATGATTGGATTTAAGGAAAGACAAAGTTTGGGAACATGAAAAATACCTGATTTTAGTGCTGAATCGCAATGTTTTAGAGTAGAACTGAAAAGAACCAGTTTTTCACAAGAAGCCATTTTAGGAATTTGAAAGATGATGTTATTTTGAGTGAAAAAATGAAAAATTTTAGTCATCTTGCAAAAGAAAAAAGGAATATATTGTTGAAAGAAATCTTATTGCAATGAGCTTCTACTAATACCTGGAATCCCTTCCTGAAACATTATGACCAAAATATAGTAGTTTGAATAATAAAACAAAGGGAAACTTATTAATAATTTTGCAAGAATTAAGAAATATATATGATACTGTTGAAACAGTTGAAGAATTTTCAGATTAATTATATATTATTAATAATAATAAAATAAAATTGCTGATCAAAAAGAATTTTCTGGAATTTTTTTTTACTGTAGATCCCTACTTTTAAGGAAATCCCATTTCGGGGAATAATCCTGATTGTAAATTGATATTATATTAATACAGTTGAACCTCGTTTTAACGAATATATGAGACACACAAGAAATCACCAAAATTTCTAATCGCATTTCAACAAATTTTTATGAAGACTTACAAATTTGTTGTTATGCGAATTAATTATAGTTGAACAAGATTCATTGAAATGAGGGTTTACTGTATTATTAATAATATATTATAACGATAACAAATAAAAAGTACAATTCATTGTTGAAAATGATGCCTCTTTAATAACTTCTTCAACAGGCACAGTGTAATGTGCTTAAAGAATAACAAAAAACAAAGTGTGGAATTATTTCACAGTTGTAGATGGAAAAGGCAAATCCAATTATTGAACTATAGAGGTAAGCATTTTTTTTGACTTTTGAAGCCATTTATTTCCAAAGTCAACTCTAAATTCAAATATTTTATATGGTATATACCGACTGTATTTGAATTAGATTCGAACCAAATCATTGGTTCGGGTGCATTATTTTTTTTCAAATTTTCCAAATTGATCATATCGAGTGACACATTAGTTTTATCCAAATAAACTAAGCCACCCTTTCTCTTGAATGTAAAAATTCAATAAATAATATAAATAATATAATAAATATAATACGCAATGGTGGTAAATATTTTTATAATTATTATATAAATTCCATATAATTAACATTTTCTCTAATTCTATAATTAAATTTAAAGCTAGTTTTAGTATTAGGAGATCTTCACATTCCTTATCGTGTAAATGATCTTCCATTAAAATTTAAGAAACTTTTAGTATGTTTATTTTATCTTTAAAGAATTCCTCCATTCGTCCATTTCTTTGGCTATATGTGTTGATTTTATTTATGATAATTAGGTTCCAGGTAAAATTCAACAAATTATATGCACAGGAAATGTATGTGATAAAGAAACATTTGATTATTTGAGAACAATTGCTGGTGATGTTCATGTAGTTAGAGGAGATTACGATGAGGTACAGTATAATAGTTATTAATTTAAACCCTCATTTTTCTTATTATTATCTCTTACATTAAAATAATATCTCTTAAAATAAATAAGTTTGCAAATTGGCCACTCTCCAAGATTGTCACTCATGGACATCTTCGTATTGGAGTGTTACATGGACATCAAGTAATTCCAATTGGTGACGCAGAATCATTATCAATTATAGCAAGACAAATGAACGTAGACATTTTATTAACAGGTCATACTCATCGTTTTGAAGCAATTGAATATGAAGGAAAATTTTTTGTTAATCCTGGAAGTGCAACTGGTGCTTATTCAGGATTTAGTGCCGAGTATGTTTGTTGTGTCATCCTTTCATTGAATATGATTATTTCTCTTGCAATTCACTCATTATATAAATTTCAAACATTTAGGGAAATAATACCATCATTTATTCTAATGGACATTCAAGGGTCAGTGGTGACTACATATGTTTATCAATTGATTGATGGTGATGTAAAGGTCGATAAGATAGAGTATAGAAAAACATTTGACTCTGAAAGAGTTGCGTAATAATAATACTATTTACTAATTTAACAATTATTTGTATAATAATATATATTATAATGATAATAAATATTTCACATGATTCGAATCTTTATGACAAAAACAAATCTAAAATTTCAAACCTCCCCCCCCCATTTAAAAATAAAAACTATTGGTAATCAAATAGTCAAGATTAGATGGGCCAAGAAACTAATAGGCACCGAGAATGTTAGCATTAGTAGCATTCATTATTGCTAACACCAATAACATTAGTAAAATTTATTAAATATTAAATTTATTATTGTTTTTAATAATAGTACTTATGATGATGATAACATTTATAATAATAATGGATTTAGGCAAATTATTTAAAAAATATATATATATATCTATTTAGAACCACATTTTTATTAGAAATCTTATTACATTCATAGAACTTTTTCATCCAGCCATTGAAATCTTTAATTTACAATTTTTCAAATTTATATCATATTCCCTTTACCTACTACATTCACTCCATATATTTTTTTCTTTTCCTCTTAAAACTATTTAATTACCAAGAAAGAAATATTGTAATCCAAATGACAAAGAAACCTACAATATGTGAACTGCATAAAATAATCAAATCAGAAAATTAAAAAGGTTGAAAGAAAAACTATGAAAAACAAGAAAATTATAATAATTAATTATTGTTTGATTAATATTAATATTTATTTATCTGGAATTTACACTGGTTTTCATTAAAAAAAAAACAATTAATATATTTGTGAGAATAGAACCAAAAATAATTTCTATTATAAAAAAATAATCTTACACTTTTTGTAAAAATTTTTGAAGCTCTTCAGCCTCAACAATCAAATCGTCATTTTGTTCGGTTGATAATGTCCGCTGTTGCTGTTGTTGTTTTATCATAGTGACAAGTTCATTTTGTGTACATCCTTTCACATCATTATTATTATAATCATTAAGAGTTTTACTTTTACTTTTACTATTACTACTAAACTTATTATTATTATTATTATTAATATCTTCTTCTTCCTCTTCTTCAGTTGTGATTTTACGTTTGCCTTTTCCACTTATTCCTGGTGGTTGTAAACTTTTTTGTTTATAAATTTGACGAATATGCTCAAGTTGTTCTATGTCATCTTGTCTAATCTCTAGTTTTGTTGGTTTTCGACGAAGCATTATTTTTATGATTTACAAAAGAAAATCTGGGTATCAAATTTTTTCTTTGAATTGATATACCCGGATATTTTACAGGTTGAACAATAAATTCGTTATATATGGGAAAAAGGTTGCAATAATTTGAATTCTCTTTTTCATTCTTCATCTTTGGAAACTATTAATATTTAATGACCTTATCAATTCTAATATAGACCACAATTATTATATGAATCTGATTTTTTATGACGCGGAAATTAAAAGTTGAATAAACTGAGACATTAGAACTTTAAAGCTCACCCCACAATTCCAAAAGCAAGGTCTTTATATTTAAAACTATTTTATCAAATATATGGCCAAATAAGCATATATTTTGAAATCTTATTAACGTAAATTATTAATTACAACTTTTGTGTGATTATATGCAGTAGACTTGCTGTTCGAAATTTGGAATATGGTTCAGACAGTATAGATTTGCAACCATTCATTAATGTTATTGACGCTATTTTAAAATTTATCACATGACAGCAAAAATACTCACTCAATCAATATCCGGGTAATCATTAAAGTATTCAGATATTCATTTGATCATTAATTAACTATTCAGTGAATGATTATTTATTGATGAATGTTCAGTGAATGTTCAAGATAAATTTTAAAATTTATTAGTCATTTTACATTCTGTCAAAAAAACAAAATGTGGATCAAGTTTTGTTCCTTTGAAGTCATTGTATTTCCAGCTGATTAAATAATCTCTCACTTGAAGTGGACATTGTAAGTGCATAGTAACTAACTGACAAAACAGGGAATCTATTTTATTTTAAGAATGGATCATCTTTCCATATCTAACTTGAATCACTCTTTAATTTGCTTTTCTTCAAAATATGAGCAGCAGAAGACTTTTCCCCTCTCATTATTATATTATTGCTTTCTCCTATTACAGTGGCTGAAGACTATTCTTCCATTTTAAATGAACGAAAGTGAAATAATTGATTAATTTAATTAATTAGAAACGAACAAACAGAGAATTTATTTGAACATGAGAAAAATTTCATTTCGATTCAATTGCACAAGATATTGATTATTATTATATTTGGTCAATTAGTCAATGATATCTGTCCGATTAACTAAATATTTACTGAATATTCAATGAATATGTGGTAGAATTTTTTTGCAGAAATCATTGGTGAGTAAATTTTTGAAAACAAATTAGGAAAATTTATCTTCTGCTACAACTTTTGTATTTGTCATTGTTATAATAATATTTATTTAAATATAAACCATTGATTTACTTCTCTATCTTTTTCATCATCATCATTATCATTATTAACAAATCCGTTAGATTCATCAATAACCATTTACATTTTTTTCTAGATTAGTACACTGCAGCCATAAAAAAATCTATAATTGTAGCCACATTATCATTTGAAGATTCCAATTTTTTTGGTTGACGATGAATGTAACCGCTGAAAGAACAAATTTGTCCAACTATTTATAATTATTTTTTGCCAATGTTTAATAGCAAAATACTTTGATAAGGTTTAGTAGTCTTCATACCACCAGTTTGAATCCAACCTATTATAACATATATTTATGTATATATTTACTACCTCTAAAAAATATGGGGCATACTGCAACAAAACCACGCAAAGTGAACATTGGTATTACCAAGGATTTCAGGGATCAAAATTTAGTCATTGTTATCACAATTGCATTGTAATGCTCCATTTGTTAATCTTTTAACTTTATTTGGACACATGTGAGGCATTTTTTCACATTCATAATGATCATTTACCAAATAAAATATAATACAATTTTTTGTGACCAAATCAAAACACATCTTTATATGAATCAGTAAGTTATTAATTGAATTTGATCACAATCCATTTGATTGGTGAATTTTATAAAAACAAAAACAAACTATCCCATTCTTACAAAACTTGCTCGCCAATTTCTGCGACTTCAACACCAAGTGAACAATTGTTCAGTCGTGCAGGAAATTTATTAACTACTAAAAGGTCAAGTTTACATTTAGAATCATTTAAACAACATATGTTATTTTTAAATCTATTCACCCATCAAATTGATTTTGAATGCAATAAACATCAAAATTGTTGGTATTTCTACACTTTCAACCAGATGGATGTATTTTTTGCGTAATGAATGGATGACAGATTGATTTTTGAGATAAACATGAATGATCGCATCACCGGTACTAGTCAAGTAGTAATATTAATAAATATACTCTTTCTAAAAAAAAATGGATGGAACAAACCATATCAGCCGATTTGGTTTTTTGGATCTTTTTTTCAAACCTTATATCTTATTGTGTCTCGACGTTAATCACGTTAAACATGATGTATAAACTGGTCAATAGAATGGTAATTAACCCCAAAAAATTTATAAAAAAACTATTTTACTATTCGGTAGCCCGTCAAACCAATGGCCCCATCTCAAAACAAATGGGTTTTTGCTAGTATAAAGTATTCATAACGTTATGATCACACCGTACTGGATTTTGGGTTCAAACAAAATCAGCGCATATGCTCTATTGAAATGCCAACTTTTATTAGAAAACCATCAACCCTTTCAATTAAGGGTTTTTCGAAAAAACAAATACTTAAATAGAGTAAATCAGCTATTTTAACATTATTAGATTTTTTACACAAAACTTAAAAGCACTCATGGTGGTTAAAAACCAGAGGGTGGTATCAAACATCAGATTATATATTTGTTGAAATCAACGCTAAAACCATTATCATTGATATCTGTAAGTGCGAAATGTGAATAGTTAGCTCCATTTTATTTTTATTTTTATTTCTTTGTAAGTGATGATGTATAGAGTTTGAAGTTGGGGGATTTTACAAATTCTACAACCTTTTCCGAATTCTACCATGTATTCCCGATATAACAATCTGATAAAGTAACCAATTTAAAAAAATCTACAAAGCTAAATTTTAATTCGTGATCCACGAGTGTATTGATTGGTGTTTGAATGTTCTTATCTCTCCCTCCCTTAAAAGGATTTTGGTTTTTGATGCATTAATATCCTATGTTCATATGAATATTCACAAGTATTAGAACACAATTCGTGGAAATCGTTCGTCACATCCATACAGATGTTCCAAAATTGGAAATTAATTAATGTAAAAAATTATATTTATTTTGATTTGTTTTCAATAATAATTTTCAGTTGAGAAATCATGACTTCTTCACCTCCTACGATTAGAAAAGAATCAAGAAGACCTTCCTCTTCCGATATCAGGATAAACACAAGAAAAACTTCTTGTTCTAGTAAAATATCCAATTATACTTTATATTATTTACATGTTGAAAAGAGATATATATACCGAATAAAATACTAATTTTTTTAAAAAATAGCCTTAGATGAATCATTGAAGACTTACAAACTTCTGGAAGCACTTCGAACAGGCACATTATAATTTATTATATATTCTTTGCTAAATTATGTATTTATTTTAATTAATAAAATATTATATTTATTTAGGCGATTTATCAACGTTAGAAACAATACTATCAACATTTCAATTAGCGCAACCGCCAACTCCAAATTCTACTGCTGGTAGTTTATCAAGCATTCCTGAATCACAAACATCGCCATTAATTCTAGCTGTTCAATGTGCCAGTGTTTCTACTATAGAGTTCATATTATCAAAATTTTCAAATAATATTAATATTAATCAACGTGACCAACTCGGAAATACTTGTTTACATTATGCTTCAAAAAATGACAGATTGGATGTCATAGGAATTTTATTGAAACAACCAAACATTAACGATACAATACCTAATTATTTACAGATGTTGTAACTTTTTTCCATGAATAATGTTCAGAAAATGCTTTGGGATTACCATTTGCTGGAAAGTCTTCAGCTGACTTGTTTGTATATGTAGGAAAGTATTCCTTTAAAACTTTTAGTCTCGCATGTGATACTCCTTGTGGTAATGCCTCAAATGATTTTCCCCAAAATTTTGATTTTACGTCCACCTCAGAAAAAAAATCATAATTGGGTGATTCACAATGACATGTACTAATTGGCTATATAGACCAAGGATTATTATTTATGTTTTGTCATATTATTAAGAAATCAAATAAATCATTTCATTACTTACTGGATGATGGCTGACTTGTTCCGACACATACCTAAAGGATTTATCTGGATGAACATACTCATAAGTCTCTCCCTATAAAAATAACAATATTATTAAAAGTTTTTAAATAATAACTTAAAAATATATATTATTCAGACATACAAACCAATAAGGGATTGAATGGCTTTGCAATTCTACCAACGGTACTAGAGTAATTGCTCATAGCAAAGGCAGCAACAAATAAAATTCTCTCAGTGCTACCTTTCTGTATAGCTGCAAGATCTAATAATTCACTATACTCCATGTCTTCAGACATACGCTGTAGCATAGAAGTTGGCTCATTAAAATAGACAGGTAAAGCGATATTACTTAAATCTTTGCCAATAGAATTTTTTAATATTGACCATAATGAAACTTCAGGTTTTGAAAAGCCTTTATCTAGTGAAAATTTTGTTCTAGCATGATCGGGATACCCATTGTATGAATCAGATATATACGTTGGCTGAACATCTTTGGATAATGAGGCATTTTTTCCAAAAGTTGACGAGAGATTATCTTCGGTTGGATTGGTAATAATGCTTGGTTCGACCCCTTCTAAAATTGGTCCGCCATCAAAAGCGTCGTAAAATTCATCTTCAGAATCGTATATGTCTGCCAATGAAAGTTGCTCCTCTTTCTTTTCAGCATCTTTATCAATTAAACCATCTTGAGGTTTATTAGGCGAAACAGGTTCTTTAGAATTTGATGATAAGTTTGAAAATTTAGGACTAGTTGGTGAGTTAACTAGACTTTCAGCAATAATAGCTGCTTTTAAATGTTTTTTCATTATTTTTTCTTCCTTTGCATTATTTTGTATTACTGTTTCCATTTCAGTTTTTTCAATTGCTAAAGCTTCCATGCTTTCTTCCCATAACTTTTTAGCTTCTAATTCTTTACCTAATTTTTTCTGCCAATAGTTATCTCTTTCTTCTGACATTTTAAGTGTATCATTTAACAAATCTTGTAATGTTTGTAAAGATTTCGCAAAAGCCTCTATAAGTTTTGATTCT